CGCAACAATTGGTATCAGAGCCAAGGTACTGTCTAAGTATGCTCTGTGGTTGCAGCATAGTCTGATCTTCCACATCAGAAAAGATTTATCTTGGTAACTGAGTCAAGGTTCTGTCTGAGTATGCTCTGTAGTTGCAGCTTAGTCTGATCTTCTACATCAGAAAGGAAATAATCTTGATTTGTGTCGTCAGCTATTAAATAATATTTGTGTCAAATATGGGAGACAATAAACAAGAAGAATCTACATCAAGTGTCAACAATACGTCATCATTGGCATCTTCGCTTATGACAAGAATTGTGTCAAATGCGAAATTTGCGGTAGAAATATTTGACGGGTCCGGACATTTTGGGATGTGGCAAGGCGAGGTTCTAGATGTCCTTTTTCAACAAGGGCTAGATCTGGCCATTGAAGAAAAGAAACCAGATGTTATTGGAGAAGAATATTGGAGAATTATTAACCGTGTTGCTTGCGGTACCATTCGATCCTTCCTTGCTAGAGAGCAGAAATATCCATACACAAAGGAAACTTCTGCAAGTAGGTTATGGAAAGCACTGGAGGATAAATTTTGAAGAAAAATAGTCAAAATAAATTGTACATGAAGAAGAGACTGTTTCACTTCACCTATGTTCCTGGTACCACGATGAATGAACATATCACCAGTTTCAATAAGTTGGTCACAGATTTGCAAAATATGGATACAACTTATGATGATGGTGACTTGGCCTTGATGTTGTTGGCGTCACTTCCTGATGAGTACGAGCACCTTGAAACTACTCTACTCCATGGAAATGACGAAGTTTCTCTCAGAGAAGTTTGTTCGGCTTTGTACAGCTATGAACAAAGAAAGCGAGAAAAACAGAAGGGCGGAGAAGGAGAAGCACTATTTGTGAGGGGTCGTCCTCAAAATCAAACGAGGACAAAGAAGGGAAGATCCAAGTCAAGATCCAGACCCAGCAAAGATGAATGTGCCTTTTGTCGAGAAAAAGGGCACTGGAAGAAAGACTGTCCGAAGTTGAAGAATAAGGCCAAACATAACAATGGAAAGGCCATTATGGATTCAAATGTAGCTGATTGTGATGATTCAGACTTCTCATTAGTTACAACAGAGTCATCAACATCATCAGACATATGGTTGATGGACTCGGCTTGTAGCTATCATATGTGTCCCAACAGGGACTGGTTCGTGGAATTTCAAGAAGGAGAATATGGAGTCATCCACACAGCGGATAACAGCCCTCTTACCTCATATGGCATTGGTTCAATACGATTAAGGAACCATGATGGAATGATCAGAACATTGATAGATGTTCGATATGTACCGGATTTGAAGAAGAATCTCATCTCTGTGGGAGCCCTAGAATCAAAAGGGTTCAAAATCATTGCAGAAAATGGAGTGATGAGAGTATGCTCCGGTGCACTAGTGGTAATGAAGGCTAATCGGAAGAATAATAATATGTACCGCTATCGTGGCAGTACAGTTATTGGGACAGCGACAGTGACATCCAGTGACGACAAAGAGGCTGAAGCAACCAAGCTATGGCACATGCGCTTGGGACATGCTGGAGGAAAATCCTTGAAAACTCTATCAGATCAAGGATTGTTAAAAGGAGTAAAGGCTTGCAACTTGGAGTTTTGTGAGCATTGTGTCAAAGGGAAACAGACAAGGGTTAAATTTGGTACAGCGATCCATAATACTAAAGGCATTTTGGATTATGTACACTCTGATGTTTGGGGTCCTTCCAAAACACCTTCATTGGGTGGGAAGCACTATTTTGTAACCTTTGTTGATGATTTTTCTCGAAGAGTGTGGGTGTATACAATGAAAAACAAAGATGAAGTGCTGGGAATTTTTCTCAAATGGAAGACGATGGTGGAGAATCAAACAGGCAGGAGGATCAAGTGTATTCGCACAGACAATGGAGGTGAATACAAAAATGATCATTTCAATAAGGTCTGTGAAAATGATGGCATCGTCCGACACTTCACTGTTAGACATACACCACAACAGAATGGAGTGGCAGAACGTATGAACCGGACCTTGCTGGAGAAGGTACGGTGTATGTTGTCCAATGCTGGCTTGGGCAAAGAATTTTGGGCTGAGGCAATTACATATGCATGCCACCTCATTAATCGTCTACCATCTGCTGCTATTGATGGCAAAACACCATTTGAAAAATGGTACGGAAAACCTGCTGTAGATTATAACTCTTTGCACGTGTTTGGCTCAACTGCATATTATCATGTGACGGAGTCAAAATTGGATCCAAGGGCAAAGAAGGCTATTTTTATGGGAATTACTTCTGGAGTCAAAGGATATCGCTTATGGTGTCCTATGACAAAGAAAGTAATATTCAGCAGAGATGTTACCTTTGATGAATTTGCTATGGTAAATAAGGTAACAGAAGATACCAAACAAAATGAAGGTGCTTCTAAGCAGGTGGAGTTTGAGGGAAAATTTATTTTTCCTACACAAGAAGCAGAGGAGGAAACAAATGAAGATTACCCTCTGGAAGGAGAGCCAGTAGAGGAGATTCCAACTCAGGAATCTCAACAACAACTTGAATCAATAGCAACCAGCAGGCCAAAAAGAACAATAACGAAACCTGTTCGTCTCATAGAGACGGTTGCTTGTGCAACCTCAATTGTAGCTGATGATGTTCCTACTACTTATAAAGACGCTGTCCAAAGTTCAGAAGAAGATAAGTGGAGGATTGCCATGAATGATGAAATACAGTCCCTTCATCAGAATCATACATGGAGATTGGCCAATCTCCCGAAGGGAAAGAAAGCAATTGGGTGCAAATGGGTATTTGCAAAGAAGGAAGGATTTCCTAACCAAGTAGATGTTCGCTACAAAGCAAGATTGGTGGCCAAAGGATATGCTCAAAAGGAGGGAATTGATTACAATGAAGTGTTTTCTCCAGTTGTAAAACATTCCTCCATTAGAATTATGTTGGCTTTGGTAGCACAATTGGATTTGGAACTAGTTCAGATGGATGTAAAAACTGCGTTTTTACATGGAAACTTGGAGGAGGAAATCTACATGACTCAGCCAGAAGGATTCAAAGTTGCTGGAAAAGAAAATATGGTGTGCAAACTTGAAAAATCGTTGTACGGATTGAAACAATCTTCTAGACAATGGTACAAGCGATTTGACGAGTTTATGTTGCGGCAAGGGTACAAGAGAAGCAAATACGATCATTGTGTGTATTTGCACAAGCTTAAAGATGGTTCCTTTGTATATCTTCTCCTATATGTTGATGATATGTTGATAGCTTCCAAGAATTCGGAAGAAATTGATAAGTTGAAGATTCAACTGAAGAAGGAGTTCGAGATGAAGGATTTGGGTGAGGCAAAGAAAATTCTTGGCATGGAGATAATTAGAGATAGACGTTCAAAGAAACTCTGTTTATCTCAAAAGGAATATTTGAAGAGAGTACTTCAACGTTTTGGCATAGATGACAAGACTAAGCCAGTTAGTACTCCACTTGCTTCCCATTTTAAGCTAAGTACTACTATGTCGCCAATGGATGAAGCTGAACGAGAGTATATGTCAAAGGTACCATACGCAAATGTTGTTGGTAGCTTGATGTATGCAATGGTTTGCACAAGGCCTGACATTTCACAAGCTGTTGGAGTTATTAGCAGATATATGCACAATCCAGGGAAGGAGCATTGGCAAGCTGTGAAGTGGATTCTACGGTATATTCATAATACTGTAGATGTCGGGTTAGTTTTTGAGCAGGAAGACAATCAGTCTGTAGTTGGATATTGTGACTCAGATTTTGCGGGTGATATGGACAAACGAAGATCAACTACTGGTTATGTGTTTACTTTTGCAAAGGCACCAGTTAGTTGGAAGTCTACTTTGCAGTCAACAGTTGCTTTGTCTACAACAGAGGCAGAGTACATGGCTATTACAGATGCTGTGAAAGAGGCAATTTGGCTTCAAGGATTGCTAAAGGAGCTTGGTGTTGAACAAAAAGGTATCACAATTTTTTGTGATAGTCAAAGTGCTATTCAATTAGCGAAGAACCAAGTTTATCATGCAAGGACGAAGCACATTGATGTTCGGTATCATTTCGTACGAGAAATCATAGAAGAAGGTGGAGTCACGGTGAAGAAAATTCATACTACAGAGAATCCTGCTGATATGCTGACAAAGGTGGTGACTGCGGTCAAGTTTCAACATTGTTTGGATTTGATCAACATTGTTGAACACTGAAGATTGAAGATGAAGACACAACCAAAATTTGTTATTGAGAGAGAATTGAAAATGTGGAATTTTGCCAAGGTGGAGATTTGTTGAAGTTTGGCAAAATGCCAAAGTCCCACATTGGTTGGGAGTTAAGTTTGGGGGGGATTTTTCCCCTATAAAAGAAGGCCTAATGTTTAGGATTGAAACACACCTCTCATTTGCCTTCTCATCTGTTTAAGGCATTTGTATCTTCTCTCTTTAGTATTATTTCACTTGTATTTTTGGAGTGGAATAAAATATTGGTTGTGTCCGAGGAGTAGGCAAAATTAGCCGAACCTCGTAAATTTTGGTGTTCCCTTTGTTGTTGCTTTACTGTCTTATTTATTATTTGGTGGCTGTCATAATTTTTGGTATAGTAGTTGTAACTTATTCACACTATATACATTTGGCTTCCGCAACAATTTTAGTACTATACAGGTATGGGGGAAGATAAGGATTGATATTTTAGTTTCCACCGTGTGCATAGGTAGGTGAACTTAATATCCTATTTATACGCAACCTTAATCCTTTGATGAATTGTTTTGAATATCGAACTAGGGACTAACCGACTAAGGGTGTTCTGCAAAATATTTATGAGCCAACAAAACCTAGTTGCTAGAGGAAAACAAGTCCAGCCAGGACTCAGAAGCTAAAAGAACCTTGGTAACCCTGGGACCATTATTCAATTAATGATGTTGTCTGCCCGAAGAAAGCAAGCAGTCACAACCCAACTACTTTACCTTAAAGAGAACCTCACCCATTATCAGCAAATGAAGCTTTCCAACGCATTCTTAACCAGATCGCAGAAGAAAACAAATGAGTAGTAACTCACAAGTTCTTTAATCTAATGATGTGGGCCAAAAAATACTTTAATTATTAGTTTAATCCTTGCAAGACAAAACTATAGCATTGGGCCAAAAACTACTTTAATTATTAGCTACAGCCACTAATAGTAACTCACAAATTCAGATATGTAGTGGTATATATAGAGAAAAGTAATCTCTCTGCTCTGTGACATTCCTTCAAATCTGACATTTTTCTAGCCCATACCTAACGTTGCATAATATAATGAAGCCCACATACTAAATTGCATAGCAACACAAAAATCAACAAGAGTCAGCAACAGCTAACAACTCATACAAGGCTGACTCGCTCAACTTTGGAACTTAGCCATGTGCCACGCATAGACATAAATTAATATAAAATAATAAAAGCAATAAGAATAATAATACCTCAAGAACTTCGATATATAAAAAAAACAATTCCCAATGCAATTAACAATTATCTCATAGTTGATTCAAAGGACAGTTTCGCCCAGCATATTTAGTAACATAATTTTGTCTGAATGCTATTTGACATCCATCCTTTTTTCTCTTCTTTTTTTGTTCGTTTTTCTATTATTTTTTTTGAAGCGTTGAAGGAAGCGGTAGGGTTTAGTTAGTAAACTTACATTTAGCTGTTCGGTTATGGAGTCCTGCTGGTTCATTGGAGCTAATATTACACTTCCTGTCCCGGACTTCGCTTTCAATTTGGCAAAAGAATTGTGCGTTGTCAGCCATGAGTACCGATTAAACGGCAATCCTTTCACCTACGATATTTATTCAATCTTTAACAACGCAACTTTAAAATAAAATTCAATAAAAGTCATTTATACTGAAAATCCAGGGATACATTAACATACAGTATAAGTTACTCTTCGAAAATCATAATCTGTTTGAAAAAATACCTTAGAAAGAGGATTGACAGGCTGAATTCGAGTACAACGGGGACGGACATTGGCATTTGCGATGCAAGTCTCGCAATGTAGCCCTGAATCACAGTTGCCATTGGCGATGCAGCTCTGTCCTTGCTGTTACCGGAAGTATAAATCATAAACACGATCGAGAAAGCAAAAAGACGTGGATAAAAAGGCATTGGCGTTTGCTTACCTTGAGAGCTTCGGAACAAGCAAAAAGAAGAGTAATCGCAAGGAACAGAGTAGCCGGAAAATTAAAATTCATGGTGACATTGATGATCTGCGAGGTAAAATGCGTAAAAATTAGGGTTCAGAATCACATACAGATGAACTAAAAAATCACACATCACATGCCTATTACGCTCTCTAGTCTTTGTCTCTCTCTCTCTCTCTCTCTCACACACACACACAAACACAAACAGAAATATGGTGATATAGGTGTGTATTTGCTAGTACAAGTACCTTCATCAATGGCGTTGGTTGAAGAAACAGTTGGCCGTTTTGAGTTTGCTTGAAAAAGATGTGCGAGGAGAGGGGAGGAGGGAAAAGTTGCGTGACTGAAGGGAAGAGAAGAGAAGAGTTGAAGTTACTGCGCTGTATGGGGGACCTCTGTATCTGTGTTTAGATAATGCCGCGCCAACGCCTTCATATCTTTGCGGTTATTCTGTTTTTATCCTTTTTCTTTTTCAAATTTTCATTTCTGTTATTCTTTCTTTCCACATCAAAATGGTTTTCTTTTCTTATTTTTAAAATAAAGCATGTGAACAGTTCTGCAGTAGGTAAATGTGTACAGAACACATTCTTTTCCTTTTAAACGATTTTTTTTATTTATTTTATAGCACGGTCGTCATAGTTGATTTATAGCGTGGGAAATATGGAAGATTCGGAGCTTGTCGTAGCAAAAAAAAAAAAAAAAATTCTCATATCGAAGGATGATTTTGGAAATTACCAAGTCATAAAAAATGAACGATGAAACTAATAGGAGTACCTTTTTTTTTGTTTAAACAAAAAAGTATGAGCCCACGGCATAGATTTTAAGACTATTGGCTCATGTTTTTTCTAAGCGTAAAAAGTAGGAAAACTGCCGGCTATTTATAAGTAGCTTATTATAAAAATTGACTAATTCATACAATAGTATCAATATTAGCCAATAAGCTATTTGTAGCATAAAAGGTCAAGTTTTTTACTTTTTTTTTAAGTAAGTGTTGTTAGAATAGATTGAGTACATCTTAAGGAGCTTGAATCTTAGTTTTTGGATGATTTGGTGGAGTTCTGAGGTAATTTGAATTGAAACTTCGAAGTAGAAGATGAACATGAAAAAAATGACGTGTATCACACTGTATATCATTTGTGTATCACATATGTCGCAAAAGAATTTTTCGAGCTCGATTTTAACAATGAATTTTGATGCAAAATCAATCCAAATCACCTTCTATCGCCCTCAAATTTTGTGTATTGACTCATCTATATGTTTTCTATTAATTTCAACCATACCCATTGAAAAATGTCCTTTTTTGCTTAGATTTTTGGAACCTTGTATATATATTTTTTGTATTTCATCACCTCATCCATGAAATTTTCTTTTTGTCTTGCATATAATATTGCTAAATACGCTTAAAAATATAGAAGGAGATCTTTGTGTGTGATTCTTAGAGAGAAATAATCTTATTTATTTGGGTTTTAATTTTTATATGTGCTTGACTAGTTTTGGTAAGTTTATGCTTAATTGTTTGTTAGGTGTTTGCCATAATTTTCTTAACATATTTGGTTTTCCTATTTGTTGAAGGAAAGGGCAATATAATTACCTTAATTGAGTTTTCCTTTTTGTAAAAGGAAATTATAATTCTCCTATACTTGGCTAGTCCTTTTTCTTGTAGGAAAAAGTTTGGACTTCTATAAATTGAGGATCTCTCCTTCTCATTCAGCAGCATCCACAATGTAGCCATACGGGACAAGTGTTAGTGTGTCACTTGTGTTTGCCTTTTCGTGAGGTTGTTCTCTCGATATTTTGTTAGTCTTTTTTTATATAGTGGATTGCTCATCTCCGCCGTGGACGAAGGTCTGTTCATCGAACCACGTTAAATGTTTGTGTCTCTTTTGGTAGATTTCACTTTTGTTGTCTGATTTATCGTCGTTCAAAGTTTTCGTTACTAGTTTTCGTATGATACCTGATTTTTTCGATCCTAACATTGCTAGATGTTGGTAAATTGAGACTAATTTGGAACATTTATATAACATTCCCTATAAAGTATCCCAATTATTATTATTTAGCGCAAGACAAAATAAACATGTGAAGATCAATTTCTTCCCTATTCCTAAGTCTCATAGTCCTGTTTTTTATTTTGTCTGAAAATGGCTTTATGTTTCAGACCCTACTTTCCAATGTTGCGTTCTCTGTGGGAGGTTAAGCCTTCTCTTTTGCATTATGCAGGTATGGTGCTTGAGTTGAATTAATTGCATTAGAAATTACTTTTCTTGTGTGTTCATAGCCACGGAAATCCAATTTGTTTTGAAATTGATTGTTGATGACTTGAGTTTTTTCCCCTTATTATACAGTTGTATATGCGAAAAATTATCAAATTAAATAAATAAAATTAAATGTAGAATGATCATTAGTAACAATTTAAACGAAACTGAAAAGTAGTTTATTTGAAGGGTGTGTTTGGTATGAAGGGAAACATTTTTCGGAAAATATTTTCCAATTATCTCATGTTTGGTTGGCTTAAATGTTTTGGAAAATATTTTCCTTATCAATTCATATTCCTCCAATTGGAGGAAAATGTTTTCCTTATCAAGAGAAGGGAATACATTTTCCAAAGCTCCATCTCAATCTTCCGCACGTTCACCAACCCACCCCACCCCCTCTCCAAAAAATGGTTTTTTTTTNTTTTTCATTTTTCTGCACCACCCACCCCCACAAAAAAAATTACTTTTTTTTGGTAATTTAAATTTCTGTCAAAATTATGAGTTCGGAGGTTTATGTGTTTGGAAGTTTACGGGTTTAAAAATTATAAAGTTTACGGGTTCGAAATTCCGCGGTTTTGAAAGTTTAGCGGTTCGAAAGTTTATGAAATTTGTGGGTCCGGAAGGTTGTTAGTTTGAAAGTTTATGACTTCATGTTTATTATATCTAAATTATTTATGAATACTCTTGGGAAGTCATTTTCCTTAATTTACGTATCAAACATTACAAAGTCATTTTCCGTTATACCAAACACACCCGAAGTGTAAAATTAGCTTGTAGTCATCTTTTCGTGACCCTATATCGAATAAACTTGGCTTAACAGAAAAGTACTGAATTTTCTTGGCACGTTTGGCCTTCTTTCTTTCTTAGAAATGCATGCGCAAGCTTTCAAGCAAAGTGTTGCGGCTGGAAAAACTTCTTAAATTGGATACCCTCAACATATGTTTCTGGACTTAATGTCTTCAACTAATAGTTTGGACTTTTTATTGTACTTTGAGGACCAGAAGAAGATCCTCCTCCGACAGTGATTTTGTCAACCAAAAAATAACATGTATAATGACTTCACTCTCACATACTTGTGGCTGGTATTGCATTTATGATTTATTAAAATATTACTGGAATTTTACCGAATAAATTTTGAGGGATATGTCACGATTATTCTACATGGTCGGAGTTTTCTCCTTGACAACACCCTCAGTTTTATTATCCAAACACTCATCTGGGTTAGTTTCTTCCAATTTAATGGTGTCCAACTTATTCAGGGTCCTCTAGAATTACAAAACCTGAACTAACTATACCTTTTGATACGTAACCACTCATTGTTTTAAATTCAAATTATGTATATTTATATTAAATGGCCTCTATTGCCATCAAAGAATAATATTATTTGACTTTTACTGATTGAAAATCTGCTAGGGATCAATACAAAGTCTTGAGGCAGTCAAAACCGCAGTCACTCTCCGCCTCGGACTCTGCGCAGTTGCCTTTATTCACAAGCGCAATACCAGCACTTATTTTATCTTGTTACAAATATTAAAATATTTCATTTGTAAATAAAGTCAAATATATTTGGAACCATTTTGTGTTCCAAATGAAATGTAATGTTATAAGTATATAATATATTGGAAGAAAAGTAGTTTGCAATGTGATTTTGCATAACACTCTTCGAAAAAAAATCACTTTTGCCTCAAGACAAAAGGGCTTGATAGCGGTTGGAGCTAAATTTGAGCACCAAAGAAGTCCAAGCAATACAAGAAAGATGCAAAAAGAGCACATATCGACCTCCCATATAGTGGAATACAATTTACTCTGAGAGAGGATTAAACACACTACCGACAAATAGTATCACGCCTGTTTTATCTTCTCTAATCAGGAAGAGAAATGGATGATCAGCAACAAAATCTACTTTCGTTTCTATCATTCCAATCATAGCAGCGGTTACAGCTGCAGCTTCTGTCCCCTCTTCATTTACCTCAATAAGGGACGTGTGAAAAATTTCAGAAACATAAAGGCCAGGTGGGGAGTCCACCATCTCGGTGAGGTCATCACGATCAAAAGGAAAATCGAGGACAAGCTTTCAGAACTTTTTTTGCTGCAAATCCAAACGAAAATTTGAATTAGGGGATACGAACTTTGTTGGGTTTTGTTATTATTTATTAATAACAAAAGAGGTGTGAATGGAAAAATGGTGGGAAAAGAAATGGCGGGAAAAGAAATGGAGGAAAGTGAAATTTTGAATGAGTTCATTTTACTTAATGCACTTTGTCCCTCATTGATAGAAGGAAAGAAAATCTTTGTGTATATATAGAGAAATTCATCTTTTAGCTCTTAGAGAGTTAAAAGAATGCAAGCCGAGCGACGACATTTGGACAAAATTCTTTTCAAATATTTAATTAATTAATTAACGAATATTCAATCCGGAATAACCCATGACCCGCGACCCGGTCTGGTTCGGTCTGTTTTCTTTCCCGGATTATTTTAAATTCGTTTTAATTTTCTCGCAATATTTCCAACAGCTATGGCTGTTCTGAAATAGTGTCAAACTTGTTCCAACAGCTATGGTTGTTCTGAAAGGTTGCAAATCTTTTCAGAATCAGTACCAAATTGGCTATAAATATTCCTTCAAATCCCAGAATATTTACTTACAAAAATTTCTGATAATCTTCTTCTTCTTCTGCACAAAAAATTCAGTGTGTTTTACAGCCTTCGAGTGGTTCACTGTTCATCGGCGTTTTTGGTACCAACACCCCGGTGAGTTAAATCGTTCTATCCTGGGAGGATATATTCCAGAACCTCGGGTACTTGAGGCGAATAATTTCCTTAAGAACACACTGTGTATTCAGTGGGCTCGATTTATTCCTATACCATTTTCAAAATTTATTTAAAGTTCAAATACTGATTTTCAGAATTTATTCCTACTAACTTTCTGTTTCTATTTTCAGAAAGATTATTATTTTATTTATTTACCGCAATACAGATTAATAACAAAATTCACCAACTCCAACCTTGTAATATGGAAGGTGACGTTCCAAGAACTGGGAATCAGAACAGATCTTTTCTACTAGAGCCATCGTTGGCATCAGGTAGAAATATGTACATAGAGAAATCTCGCTTATCCTTACCCTGTTTATAAGGAAGCTTGAAACCTTGAAATTCTTGTACGTATT